CATCCAGCCATCCATCCATCTATCCATCCATCCATCCATCTATCTATCTATCTATACCCCAAAGGTATATCTCCCTATCTTTTTCTCTCTCTCTCCACATCCATCTGTCCCCTCCTGTACTCACATCTGCCACCAGCTTCTGTATAAAGGGCACCATCCCAGCCATGTAGTTGAAGATCTCCTCTAGCTCGGGGTCAACCATCTGTACAGTGAAGGCGTCGTCGTACTGCTTCTCGCTGATGGCTCCGATCTGGGACAGACACACACAGGCGTGGAGTTTTACACTTCTTTCAATCGCGTTTTGGTTACAGGTTTAGTATTATTTTTTTCTGTCACTTGCAACATAAGTAGGCCATATATGTGAGAGTGGGTTTTGTGGCATTGCAAATTAAATAGCCATTAAAGTGCTTAAGAATAGAGGTGTTACTAGAGTGTAACATACAAAGAAAAGGCGGTTTTTGTTTTAGTAAGAGTTTTACACCACTTTCAACACAATAAAGTCATATAACTGCCGAAGATTAGAGGTGTTACCAGAGAGTAACAAACACAAAAAAGAAGGAGGGAATATAAAGACGATAGATGTTTGATAGGAAAGAAAGAGCAAACCACACCAGAGCACCCACCAAGTGAGACAGACACACAGCTGAGGAGCTCTACACCTCTTTCTTTTTCATTAATGTCTTTGGGTTACAGACAGACACGCACACAAACTCAGCTATGGCCGATTAGTGCTGGGGAAAGCAGAACGACAAATGGGGAAAAACAGGTAGACAGGAAGAACAATGTGTGGGTACAGGTGCTTCAATGAAATGACAAGAGTTTTGTTTTAGAAAAAGTTTTACGGCACTTGCAACACAATGAGGTCATATACGTGTCGAAGATTAGAGGTGTTACAAGAGAGTAACAAACGCAAAAAAGAAGGAGGGGAGATAAAGAAGATAGATGTTAGATAGGAAAGAAGAAGTTAACCACACCAGAGCACCCTCCAACCACCCACTTGGCGAAAGTCTTAAAACATTTTTTTCTCTTGCCCAATCTGGTCAAAACAATACCATGTGATTAGCATACCATAGTGACTGTGATGAGTGAACTATAGTCACATAGTTTATCATACGGTTAGTTTCCTTGATGGTAGAATGGACATTGCTAATTTTCATAGTTACAATTCACATTCTTCGAATTGACAGTCCGAAATTCTATTTGTTAAGAGTAGGAACTTATGAATGTCTCCGATAAGCAGAGACATATGTACACACTTCAAACACACCATGCTGGTGAGAGTCTTGAAACTTATGAACGTCTCGGATAAGGAGAGACATGTGCACACTTTTCAAACACACGAGGCTAGTAGGTTCATCAGATTTATGACCACCATTGATCTGATAAGGAAATCCGTGCACTTTTCAAAGAAACCAGGCTCAAGAGTCAAGTTCAAGCCTTGGTCATCTGCACTGTCATTGACTGTTTGACCATCTCAACTAAGGATGGGCCTTGGACGTAATTTTATAATGGCTCCATTATTTTCTGTCCGTGCAATTTCTATGTTTGTACATTTGAAGGATGAAACAGAAATCACCGTCATTGATCTTCACAAATAGGGAAGGAGACTATATATCATGAACATATTATGTGAATCACCATTATATCATAATGTATATAAGTGTACATACCATAGTATTATTATTGTTAATGCTGTTGTTGTTGTTATTATTATTATATTCTGTAAATGCTGTTCATCCCCATTGACACAATTTAAGTCAGCCCAAGAGATGGGTGACTTTCATTCTGCCTGTCAGCCCAAGAGATGGGTGACTTTCATTCTGCCTGTCAGCCCAAGAGATGGGTGACTTTCATTCTGCCTGTCAGCCCAAGAGATGGGTGACTTTCATTCTGCCTGTCAGGGCCAGACCAGGCTAAGTGGGATACAGCATCCCAGCTGACAGACGGGGAAGCTCAAAAAGAAAACAAATTTCTCACAAGCCTCCTGTTTGATTTGGTACGTGTTTTACGGTGCACGCAACTTCATAAGGTCACTTGTCTTCAACCTTAAAGAGCCAAAGAGCTACAATAGTTTACAATTGTTGTAGAGCCCATAGAATGTGCTGTAGAGAGAGGATATTTCTTTTCGTAAGAGTTTTACGGCACTTGCAACACTATAAGGTCATATAAGTGCCGAAGATTAGAGGTGTTACAAGAGAGTAACATACACAAAAAAGAATGAGGAGAGATTATGACGATAGACGTTCGATAGGCAAAAAGGAGCAAACCACACCAGAGCACCCACCAACCACCCACGCATGTGGATAAGCACCGTATAAATGCAATTATTAATAACCTCATTGCACCAGAGACGCTGGTTCAAACCATGTGTATATCATGAGGGTGTTAGCTTTAGGCACATCTTGAAAACTAAATAGTTCAGCTACCAGTAACAAAATTAATATAGTGTAAAGCGCATAGAGCCTGCTGTTAAGCAGGGATATGCGCTATACAAATGCTATTTATTATTTATTAAAATTAAATGGTCAAATCAGTACACGGCTTTACAACACTGACGACACAAAAATGAGTGAGATTTTGGGGGGAAAAAGGGGAAGCAAAAGTGAACAGGAGGCAGGCAGTGACTAACAGAACAGTTTGGCGTATCTGATTGTGTTTCTTCTTTTAAGTCAGTCCAGAAGTGAATTTTTATTCTTATCGAATTTCAGCACAGGGTGGTTGTAGTTTGTTCCATAGAGTCAACAGATAGAAAACGTCCGTCCTAGTGAGTTCTTCCAGGGCAATGAGCCAGTGCTCTATCACTATAGGTTTGGACAGTATAAATAGAGAGAAAGCGTAAATCAAAAAGAGTCAAAGTATAGAAATTGTCACAACAGAGATGACTGACTGTTTTGCTGGGACGGATTTTGGCGCCACATTTCAACATAAGATAATGTCGTAAGTGACCGGCATCCTCGCATTTCAGAATTACTCAAACAAAGTGTGCACTGAAAATCCAAAAATAAAGTCTTTTAAACACGGAGCAACAAGAGGGAAAGTATGACAAGGAAAGTTGTTTGACTTTTGTAGCAAGGAAATGTGTGATCTCGCATGAACCAAAGCGCTGTCAAGTGTAGCAATTTTCTCTTTCTCCAAAGACCTTGAATCTTTTCTGTGGTTGTATCCTTCTTTCACCTACATCAGGGGACGGCAACGTTTTCCGCCAACAAGGCCATATCGGAGCTCAGAGAAGGCCGCTACACCGAAGAAAAAAACCCCAATTAAAGTAAGTCTCAAAGAAAGGACTTTGAATCCCCAAGCCAGGGCCTGATACAAGTTGTTTGCATGCAAGTTAAAACGCCTAGTCATCTCACCGCAGACGCTGATGATCGCTTCTATATTTGGGTTCCGGAAGAAAATCAAATGCAGAGAACAAGAAATAAAACAGAGTACGTAGGGATGAAGTCAAGCCATTCGATGCGGGACATTCGTAATCATAGCCTTACTTTGCAGACAGTTCCAGACCTCCGTTTTTTCTAAGAGGCAGCGTGTGTGAGAGAGATCAGGTTATGGTTATCAACAAAATCATCACATAAAACAAGACATAATACAATTAGTGTTCACTGGCTGGTAACGATCACCTGGCATAAACTGAAACTACACAATGACACAATTGAAACAACACAGTGACACAGTGACAATGACACAGTGACACCACGACATAGTGACATAATAACAACACATCGATACTATCTACGAAGTTCAAAAACCTTACGTCAAAGCTGCGGACTACACAATGAGCTCAAAAACAGGAAACGTATCAGGTACAAACACATACAGTGCTGTATCAGGTACAAACACATACAGTGCTGTATCAGGTACAAACACATACAGTGCTGTATCAGGTACAAACACATACAGTGCTGTATCAGGTACAAACACATACAGTGCTGTATCAGGTACAAACACATACAGTGCTGTATCAGGTACAAACACATACAGTGCTGTATCAGGTACAAACACATACAGTGCTGTATCAGGTACAAACACATACAGTGCTGTATCAGGTACAAACACATACAGTGCTGTATCAGGTACAAACACATACAGTGCTGTATCAGGTACAAACACATACAGTGCTGTAGTGTGTTCATCAAAGCCCTCAACAATCTGGCACACATGCATCCTCTTTACTAATCTAATTTAATTTGTACTTTGAAAATAATCTGAGAAAAAGTTTTAAAAGTTTAAAAAGATGCTTTCAAACCTACAGCTTGATTTGAACGTGGTAAGGGTACAGTTCATCTACAATTATACGTCATTTGCTGATTCCATGAGTACAATAAGAAGTTGGAGTATCTCGCTCTTGGATTGAAAAAAACTTGGTCTCTCCCGCAAAAATACTAGAAGCATTATGCAAAAAGAAAATGACTAAATACAACTGAGGAATATCAAAAAGTAGTTTGTATTCAAAATCCGGGACAAAAAATATTCCCAGAACATTTCAAAGACAGACAAAGATTAAAATGAAAAAAAAAAATTAATTGACAAGTTCAACAAAAGCCTGACCCCCACCCCTTGTTAGAAAAAATAAAAATGCACCGCATAAATTAGCTGGAACTGGGCGTTCAAAACTTAGTCCAATTTAGATTATTGTTAAACTTCAGTCTGATTTTGTTTTGCATGACAAAGTGCAATATATTACGACATAAACGGACACAACAAAATGAAATATTTTATCTGAATATAACAATTTCGATTTTCTGGAATCAAGTTAATAAGCAGTTTCTAAAATCTGGAACAAAATTACAAAACTAATGTCATACCCTGTTTTCTTTTATCAAATGTACAACTGTTCAGAAAATGTATACAATATTATCTTTATATAATAGATAATAGATACTTGAGTGGTTGTGCATTAGGTCAAAGAAAGGTTGTGAAGAACACCACAGACGATAACATAATCATTTAAACACATGACATCCGCTAGTCCTGTTAAATTATTCCGTGCAGTCTGGAGTTCTACAAGTTTACCGTAAAACCAAGGTGTACCAGCACTTTAACCCTTTCCTGCTTACATTCTTAGCCAACAACAGCCTCTTGTTAGCTGAGCTTCCTGTGTACTTAGTGACCTTTTAACCCTCTAATGCCCTTTGGTTTATTGATGAACTTTGAAGCGTGAATACAAAGTGGAAATACCTGTAGGACTACACTGGAAAAAAAACCCAGAAAAAAACTGTTGATTTTAACAATTTTTATCCAAACCTTAAA